TGGGGGGGGGGGGGGTACTTGAAGTATACCTGATGGGGACATGGGGGTTCATTGTATATTTTGGGGGTGAAATCTTACACCCTTAGTATTATTTTGGGTCAAGAGAGATCTGTCACTTATTTTTTAGGTCTTGAAAAAATATGTGTATTTTTTTGGGATTTACTTATTTCTGAGCAAAATTTTTGTTGTGATCAGTGAATCAGATAATTATTCATTCAAACTTTTTTTCAGCAACATGTATTTTTTGGGGGTAGGAAATTTTGATGCCAGGTATTTTTTGGGTGTAAAATTTCAGGCTCATGTATTTTTGGGGGTTCACTGTATGAAGCTCCGTCTGACAGCCCCCCCATCATGTATACTGTGAGTACCCCCCTGGGTCACATGTAGTGGACTGCATAGCTGTGTGTTGGCTTAATATGTTATGTAAATTTTTTATTTTGGTGGTCAAATTTACTTTTGAATGAAAAAGTCGTGAAATTGACTGTAAACTCTTAATTAACTAAGGGGATTAACATGAGGTACCTCTCACCTTTGGCCAAAAAATGTCATGTGATACACCTCAGGGTAGTAATCATGCTGTGATCTTCAGTTTATCATTCCCTGATTGACCTCTTTACAAAGGGGAAGAGAGTGAGAGGGAAGCTTATTTGAATAAGGGTCCTTGTTCTAAATTGCAAAATAAATGAAACAGTTTGTAACATATTTTGTTTGACATATTGACATTTTAAAGGCAAAGTCCGATTGTGTTTTGGTAGAAAACATCCATAGCCCTCCATATCCATATCTTTTGGTTTGGATACCTCCCATCCCTCTTGGTTCATACTTTCCCTTAAAAATTCTAGCTTTTGAGACTGCTCTCCCTCTTAGGATTTTTAAATACCCTCCTTGGGGCAGGTAATAGGATCTCTTCTGGAACCACACATTTATAAGAGAGTGCCAAAGTTGTTACATGTTGCATGTAGTTTACAGTACTGTTAGAGATTTATACAACAAGAACATTGTTCAGATGAAACAATCATCTGTATAGCTTTTGTCACTCCGTCTGTAGTATATTGCCTGTCATATTTGGCAGGGGTATTTGCGAAGAAAAAACTGAGAGGAGCGTAGGGGAGGGTAGGAGGACTTATTTGAACTGGGGGACATTGTAGAGGGGACTTTCTTAGGCCAGGGAGGTAAAGTCTCTCTATCAGCCAAGTGGTCCATCAGGTCAGAGCTGACTAGAACTTTTTTATTCCCCCCTGGATGGGATGCTAGTCCATCGCAGGGTTACCCCCAGCATTAAACTCGCCGGTAACCATTTATACACCTGGGTGGAAAGAGGTACTGTGGGACTAAGGAACACAACACCAGTGGCGGATCTGGGGGAGGCGCCTGGGAGAAGAAGGAAGAAAAGCCGGCAGGGCAAGCAAAAAAACCGCTCCCCCCCCCTTAAGGTCTGGATCCGTCACTGATCACAATATATTTGTCCCTACCAGGGTCAAATTGGACAGGTTTCCCAAATCATATTCTTTTGCGATGTTACCTAGATGCTATTCTTTGCATGGTTAAGAAGGTCTTGAGATCAAAAAATGGACATCACACAGCCTCAAATTTACCAATTGCTACTCCTTAGCCCTTAGGGTACATTATAAGTACATCTTACGTAAGAGGTAGACTATTGACAAGCTATGTCTAATCTAATAGTATACAGTAATGCTAGAAGTTTTATTGAACATTATTATGTCTTGTAACATTTTCAGCCAAAAGACTTATCTGAGAGCATTTTGAACATCAAACATCGGGATATCTTTGATCACCTTCCGCCTCTGAGTGCTCCACAGGTAATAATACACTGTTTGAATACAGGGTAGGAAAAACATTTTGAAATACAGTTGCCCATTGGACCAGTACATTTCAGTTTTCAGTTGCCTCCACTAAAATATTACTTGTTTTTGATTGTTAATTATCGCTAGCAAGTCTACTGAGACTAATTTCACTTGCTCACCGGGCCACCAAACTTCCATTTTCACTTGGTCATGCAAGAGCAAAATTTACTTCCCCGGGCAATCGGACCTGGGTTTTTTTCCTGCCCTGGAATTATCTCAAATGAAAGGTATCTCTAAGATATTACACTTGAGTCACCTCATAGGGCGAGTTAAGAAATAAGTGTGCGCTTCCAACACCTGCATGAATTTCCGGCAAAATCTGATTGGCTCATATTTATAGCGTGACACAAGATTTTTTTTTCACTTTTCCACTTTTTATTATAACCTTGTGTGGTTCAAAAACAAAAAAAAATTACATATTCTTAATATCACCTAACATTAGTAACATCAGTTATTTTACATGCCCTAATATGGTAATGAAATTAATTAATAATGAGACTGGATACCATAAATTAAGTTTCTAATATGAATTTTACTTACAGCTGCCATCCAGCCTGAAAGTAAAGTTCTGTGTTGTTTTTCATAGCTATACATTTCTTAGTTCTAAATTTCACTTTGACAATTTCCTTAGAAGCACTTAGATTAGGAGGTACACCACGTCTCCTACTTATCCAAATATGTAGTTTAACAAGCATAATAAAGTAACTCAATAGTTCTATTTCTGCGTCTTATTTGCCTAGTAACACATCTTGTAGTGTGAGGTCCACTCTTTTGCTGGAAACCAAATACCAAAAGGATGCAAAATCAATCCAGATTAGGTTTGTAAAAGAGCACTCATAAAATAGGTGATGTACAGTTTTGGATTCAATTCCACAAAATGTACACAGGTCATTTGGGACATAGTTTGACACAAGATAATATTGCTGTTGACAGGTAAGCCATGAAGGGGCCGCAGACGGCTTGAGAAGTGAATGTATCAGGTGTTCTTTTCTTCCCTACCCAGCTTGTGAAAAAACAAAACAATTTAGCAAAAACAAGAATGCCTGATTGCAGGTTCTATGCTGTTGTGGAAATCAATGATATTCACTCTCATATATTATTAAAAGCAGTTTGTCTTTTTGATCTGAATTTGTAGCCTGCGTATAGTGAAAGACCAAAGATTGTAGAGTATGGAGCTTATACTCAAGCATCACCAACTAAAGAGAAAAGTCATTATAGACATACAAGGTGGGTGGCAGTTTATTTCTTAAGACATTTATATCCTTGGCAATTTTTGTGTTCAATTAAAGATGGGACTTCTTCAGAGGGGTGGGGATAGAGAGTGGAGAGGGACTGAGAGAGAGGTTGAATAGTTTTGATTTCCCAAAAGGATCAATTCTCACCAGGCTTTTCCCAGTAACTGAATGCTTGTCCATCACTGCTGGGCCATTAACCCCACTGTCCCAGGACACAGGGAAGAACTGAGGAAAATAATTAACTACCCCTCACACTGGTGAATGGGACACTCAACTTTACCTCTCTACCATCATGTCGCACTAAGTTTTAAATACTTCATGTAAAACATAATCTTTATATACTGAATTGTTAACATTATATTCTATCCAGCTGGCATTACTGGTACCTTTATTCCTTTAAGCTAGGTAGTTATGTGCATGTCAAACCAAAGGGTATGGTTTTTGCTCTCTTTTGTCCTGAATTATGGTATGTATTGCTCCTTGGCCTGGAATCAGGTATTCCCCATGTTTTCCTTGTCATAATCAAAGGATTTAAATCTTGTCTCAAACATCTATGGATATAGAAGCCATCCCTGCTTATTCATTAGCTGAAGTCATGTATTAGAGACGTGGAATAGTTTTTGAAACCTGAAATTGACTTTCAAGGTTTGGCTCCAGTCTGAAATAGGCTATTGAATTGAAAATCACATATTTTGGTCTGACATGGGGTGATGATTTCAGGAAACAATTAACACACCTCCCCCAGGAAATTTAATCAATACAATATTTTACATTCAATTTACTTCAGTTGACTGTTTAGTATATCATTTTATTTTGCAGTGATGCAGTGGCCAATAACTACACACCGTCAGCTCAGAGTCTAACAACAAAGTTAATTTATAAAAGACAAGGCAAGACGTCCAGTTCTGGTAAGCTGAAGTACATAGAGTAATTAAATACAGGATATATTATTATAAGTACTTAATGACTGGCCCCATGGGAAACAGTGAGTTTTGTTTCCCCGAGACCCTCTATGTTCATTGAACATTGAATGAACATTCAGGTTAAGGGGAAACAAAACTCTGTGTTTCCTGCAGGACCAGTCATTAAGTGTTTTGTTATACGTCCCAACTTAAAACTAGGGAAAAAAACTGCGAAAAAATTGTTTGCTTGACGCCAGCTGGCACACAAATTTGCTACGGTTTCAAGGAGCATGACCTGATCACGTGCGAGTCGAAACTTCATTGTTGTTTTCCTAGGGAGTTAGCAAGTTTTAACCCATGACAGGTGACACGTTCTCCTCCAATTGGAAAACATATTTGAGCTGGGAGGTATAACAAAGACAGTTAAACTTATATACATGTGCTCTTTTGTTGACAGAAAATTTGATAATATTAGCAGATTCACCTTCTTTTCCAGTGTACAACTATTCTTTTTGAGTTAAAAGGATTAGGAGTGTTTTGCAACTTCATTCGCATAGTCTTTTCTCTTACTTGGGGGTAGGGTGGGAAAAGGCTGTGGGAATGAGGTTAGGGTGTTCTTGGGGGTGGGGTCAGACACGGGATGGCAAACCCCCTCTAAATGTCTGTGACAAAAACAATGTTACACAAAATGCTATGAAAAGTTATAAATGCTAACAATGTTAGGATGGCCAACACTCCCCAGGGGGCACTCACAGTATACATGATGGGTGGAGGGGGGTCCAATGGAGCTTCATATTATGAACCCCCCAAAACACTTGAGCCTGAAATTGTGCACCCCCCAAAATACCTGACCTCAAAATTTCCTATCCCAAAAAATACAAGACTTAAAAACAAGATTACAAATTAATACATTATATTGTCTTCTTTATCAGCATTTTTTCTGGAACTCACACGTTGCTGAAAAAAAGCTGGAATGAATAATATTCTGATCCACTGATTGCAACAAAAATTTTGTAAGCCCCCAAAACATACACCTATATTTTTTTAAGACTCCAAAAAATTTGTGACAAATGTCTTGATCCCAAAAATACAGACGGTGTAAATTTTCAGCCCCAAAAAATGTCAGACCCCCCATCATGTATACTGCGAGTACCCCCCTGGGAAACACACTAACAACCAATACCTGTAAACGCCACTGACAAGACTTTTGCTCCTAGTTGTTAACTTTGTTAAATTACATTTAGCAGTACTGAATCCTTGACCAAAATCTCTGACAATCATGGTACCTGTAAGATCCTTGAAAGATCCTTATAGAGATCCACAAAGATCCTTGAAAGATTTTCGCCAGGGATCTGTTCAAGTGACTTACACAATGCCTTTGCTCTTGGACCCTTGCTCTGAGTCAGATATATAAGAATCTGAATCGGACAGTTAAGGAAGAGGTTACTTACTATAATGTTTATGGGCACCATCATGTGAATTGCTTGCATTTATGGTTTAGTTTTTGACTTTCTCATTCTTTTAATTTCCTTATATTCCTAGCTAAAAAGAAGAATAGCCCAAGAAAGCAACCTAGCCCTCCTGGAAAGGTTCTTGAAGAGAAAATTCAACCCCTTTATAGTGGACAATCTCAATCACCTAGTTCTGTGTATTCTAAAGGAAAGGGTAACTTGGTGACCCAGGGAGTGCCCAGGGTAGGAGTTATCAAGGGGCACACAAGCCCACCTCTTGTGGGCCCGCCAAAAAAATGGTCACCCCAGAATGAACAGGATACTTCTGAAACAGAGAGAAAAATTGATATTGATACAAGTCCTTTGTCAAGTTCTAAACCACCAAGAGTAAAAAGACCTCAGTCTGCAGAACAGTTTGTTAAATCAAATGGCCGTTCACCCAGTCCTCAGGGTAGCGGCTTGCATCATTATGGAGAACCTATGCCTGAATCGCCAGACTCTAAAAAGGCAAAAGTTGCATGGGGAGGCCAAGGGAGGGTGACTGAATCAAGCAGGAACGAAACTATTGATACAGAAACAATTTCAAATGGTCATACAGACATGGAAATCCATGATATTGGTGGAAGTTATACTGTAACAAGTTCACCGCTGAATATCTCATCGGTGTTGTCATTTAGAGAGCACGACGAAGAGACACTGTCTGTTTTAAATATCAGTTTCCCTCCATCAACAACTCCTACTTTTGGACTTTCCCGTGCTGTGTCGCCACCTGAATCAGAGCTAGAGAGATACAGTAGTCTTGTGGAGAAGGCCATTATGTCTAACATGGTAGCACCATTGTCCAAGGAATGGAAGAGGAAGACCCACGATTTTCTTCCAAAATCATTAAAACAGGACTTTAAGGAAACATTGGATGAGCTTGACAAGGTATTAATAACCTTTTCACTGTTGACTTTCTCATTTGCATTTCAATATAATCCAACATAACTTTGGGCATTTTTGGAGTTACTACCTGAAATTGCCTTGCATCCATGTTGGATTACATTGTTTGCCAAAATTATGACAAAAATTCCAGTTTTGGTTCATACTTTCTTTTACAATTTTGTTGTTTTGAGACACACCCTTCCCCCTTCAATCACTGTGCCCCTTGTAATAAATTTTATTTCCAATAAACCTCCTTCGGGTGGGTATGGATATTTTCTGGAACTTGACAAAGTGTCACACCATGCAGGGAGAATAATCTTTACTATTATAGTTATTTCTGAGATCATATAATTTATTAATATTTATTTTAACAGGAAATGGAGGCAGAGTATGCACGAAGTGTAAAGCAAAGTATTCTGGATTATGTGCTTTTGGATCCTGCAGAACAAAGACGACTTGGACTCCATATGCCACTACCAGTGAGCCTTGATATTTTTTATGTTAATATTGAGTTATTTCAATTGACTTATAATAAAGTAGCATTCCTTCAGTACACCCCACATAGCTAGATATTTGGAAATATGCTGTTAGATTTGGTTGGGTTCATTGGGAAGTCTTTGCCTGCTGACAAGAGTTTTGAGATGAAATGGAATGTGAATGAAACAAAATAGAACTAGAGAAAACAAGGTGAAAAAAGATGAACCAATTAAAATACTTCAATAAAACTAAATATCCCTTCCTAGGACACACACTTTGTTTTCAAGTACAGCAGTAGCTGGTTTATTAGAAAAGTGAAACCAAAATATAAGTAAGCAAAATATTGTGATGAAATAAAGTAAAATGAAATAAAATGGTACAAAATTGAATGAGATGCACCTGTTCATTTGTAATAACAAACAAATTATGTACAAAAAAGGGACAAGGCCTTCAAAAACTTGCATATGCTTGATTGTAAAAAAAGAAGCGAATGCCAAAGAGGTTTGATATGTCTTTATCCTTCAGGTAATATATCCTGCTGGAAGAGAGAGATTTCCATGGCATGCTTCAGTCATTGCCTGCAGGGAGTACCTGGAGAAAAACCTCTTTGTGACCCATGTTGTACTTAGGGAACTTCTATTCCTCTGGGAATCACAGTGAGTTCAATATGTAAAGAGTCAGGGATCAGGAACAAAATTTCCAAGGAAGAAACAACCTGAAAACAAATGCTTTTAATGCATTATTTGCTACAGTTTGAGAAATTGCATTCAATTTATAATAAGTAACCGCAGTCAAACCTGTATTAAGTGGACCCC